GGGGGGGGGTGATGAGAACAAGACCCACCTGACCGGCGCTAACGTTCGTTTCGCTTCCCGTAATTAGCACCGCCACTCACTTCTCATTCCAATCTGCGTGCTACTTATTGAGTTAATGTCTTCTGTGGCCCTCAGGTTACAGGAAGATTGTTCCAGCTGCGTTGCTCTGATGACGCAACCGAGTGAAGTGATGGTGGCGAGTGAGACGAGAAAAGCAGCCCATCAGAGCTGAGTTTTGTTTCATACCAAAAAAAAAATGCGGGGCAACGGTAAAAACAAAATACATGGCCTCCTTGTTACCTTAACTTTTCCACCACTCTACAAAAACAAAAATGGATTAGTTAAAGCATGATTCAACCAACAAAAACGTACAAAGGAACAAAGCAAAGAACTAGCTAACAATCTAGCTGACCTTCCCAGCCCTCTACATGTCAAGGAAAATGATGAGTTTTAGCATGAACGAACTAGCAACAACCCTGTTCACCAGCTAAGCAACCGACCAACCATTTACAGTGCTAACGCCCATGACCAGTTCATGATGTATCTGAAACATCTTTTTCTTCATCCCTTCTCTTCATGTTTTATTATCCCTGTCCAGGCCACCATTTGCATCACATTCTATGTTCCATTCTGCTGATTACGTCAGTGTCTTATTATCTGATCCTCAGGTTACAGGAAGATTGTTCCAACTGTGTGCTCGTCTTGCAGTTGCTGGTGACGCAACCAAGTGCAGTGAGATGGGGAATGATTTTGTCAGCGTGTACTGGGATTTTATTACCTAATCCAATTACCAGAAAAAAATGAATAATAATAACCAGCTAATTTCCCAACCACACTCTCACGTTCATGGAAATTGAGTGAAATATTCTGGCATAATACAACTAAACGTACTGTCCCACACGTCAACTAACTAACCGTTTCCACCCCTATAATGTTCACATTATAGGGGTGGAAATTTATTTTCCATTTGCCGATTTTACTGATAACGTAAATGCCTTTACCACGATCAGATTTTCTCCACAAAATTCTGAAAAGGCCTTCTTCCCACACAAACCATGGGAAGCTAACTGCCGCCGCGACCTTGCTTGTGCACAAAATGGCTGTCATGAACTCCAGACGGCACATTTCATCTGCTGACTGAACGTTTGTTTGTTTCATGTCTAATAAAATATTTTCTTCATGTTTATACTGTATTACATGTTCACGTTTTTACATCTATAGATGTTCATGCTGTCTTATACATCATAGCTGGCGGCCATTTTATTGGACATAGTTACAACGAACTACCATTATTAAGTACAAATTCGCTATGTCGATACGTTGTAACGAGGTTCGACTGTAACTATCTGATTCCTCCCCAAAATTGTATTAGCTCCGACTGAATTTGATGGAGTCATGTAACTACCAACTAAGAACTATCTCAATAGCTAGGCAACATTCCCATCCCTCCCCTAAAATGTTTTGTGCATAGAAAGTGGATGGCACCTTCGGAACATGTCCAAGAATGTAATACTGTACTTTGTCCAACTAACTCACTCCCTAAAGTTTTGTGCAAATTGATTGAAACTATTGAATTAGCTTACTCCCTATCTACCTAGCAACTGAACAAGCTAGTTAGCCGTCCGGCCAATAGACCAACAAGTGGAACGCATTAGGTTAGTGTCGGTTTGTACGGCATTCACCAAGGACGAATCATCAGTTCAGTACCAAATGCCGCGTGATGTCATCTGCAGTCTTGATTCCAGGTGGAGCTGATCCAGATCCACACCCGGGTGTGAAAGTGAGCCCCGAGGCGTTGCGTGATGCATCACATCAAAGGCGGCATTGTTATTCAACTGTGGCCCTCTTCAAGAGGCGGCTGTTCCACTGAGGACAATGACCATAAGAGGAGCATCATCGCATGTCGCCTCGGCAACCCGCCAGAGCGAGGTGAACATCAATAGCGTGAACTCGATGTATGTTACCATGGCGACAGACGCAGAGAAGTAATCACTGTCACAAACGGACAAACGCTCGGTCTCATCTTCATGTCATGTTTTGATATCTCAAAAGTCAAACACCACTTGCACTTCAAGCCATTAATCACAGTCACTAGAAAACTAGCTTGTTAGCTAGCTGATTAGCCACCTAACAGACGAACAAACAGCGATTAATACAAATGTAATTTGCTAGGTTTTTCTGTCACAAAGAATCAATGTGCCTCGGGAATGATCCCCAATTTAAAAAAAAAAAAACGAACGGATAGAGTCAAGGTGTGTTTGTGACACCCCAAGAAATTAGCTGGATTCATCTTCATTTGCAACCTGTCATTAACTGCCCTCCGACCACCGTTTGATGCTTAAAAAACGAATCTCGACACATCGCAGACGCCGTTCGCCCTTCAGACACTACATCATACTTAGCGCCAGGCCTGTCCCACAAGTACAAACACCTTCTTCTTCTTTGCCGCAGCAGGTGACAAATTGCCAAATAAGCGGCGCTACCCGCGCGTGACAGTGTTCACAAAACACCTCGTGCAGGAATTTTGACACTCCTCCCTGGGTCAAAAGTAGATACCAGACTGATGAATACCACAAATAAAGCCATAAGTACCACGCGGGAGTGGAATGGACTAGCCTAGTTTATCAACGTTATGCAAATGAGACGATGCGAGTCATGCGGGTGTCATGAAAATCACACAAAACAGGTTGATGTTTTGCATTTATTTGATGCCATATTAACAAGCAGCAAATATTTTCAGAGACAAAATTCTCTCAACCAAGACGATATTACCCCCTCCCCAATCCCCCAAAACATTACATTTTACCCCACTACATTTTCTCTCCATACATCTTTGTTTTTTTTAATCTCTTTGCATCTTTTTTCAAGTGATTGACCGTTTCACTTGGTATCTGCTCACGAAACTTTTTATCGCTTGCTTACCAGCCTCCTTTGGACAACGGTGATTTTTATCGCAATGTGACCTTCCTGCTCAAAAAAAAAAATGATTCAACTTAAAAAAAAAAATGACCCACTGCATCCAAATGAGGACACAGTGATAAGAGGAGCCCTGTGCTGGAACTCAAAGAAAACAGCGCAAAAAGGAAGGTAGCTTTGGGGTTATGCTTTGAAGTACAACAAGCGAAAAATGTAATGCCACCCGAGTGTGTGCCCTGCTGAGGCCAAGCGTCACTGCATAAATCCCCGAAACAAAGAAAAGATGAGTAATGTAACAGTGTCGGGCTCTCAAATGAGCCGTTGTGCCATTTCCAGATGTGAAACATTCATCAATTTGGCATCTTTACGGGTTTTGGATGCCCGCCGATTGTTTTGTCTGTGTATTTTTTTAATTTACTTTTTTATTCAGAAATGGCTTACTGGCAAAAAGTATATGCAATACAGCTCTGAAATGGCTTGTAAGAGAAATCATCTGAAACAAATTATATCGAACCCCCCCACGCCCTTCATCGGGGATTCCACTCCAGACCAACATCACAATAAATGAGTACCACAACATAGAAATACCCTGTTAAAATAGTCCCTGGGCATGGTTTTTTTAATAACACCGATGGCGCTTCAATTTTTTTTCACGATCATTAAAAACAAACACATATGAAGACATACAATATACTGAGAGAGTGATCAATAACAAATAATAAAAAAAAATATTGTTTACACATCACAATATCTGTGTTTTCCAAGAGGCCTCAGGTTACCTTGTACGTTCTCTTTTGATTCTGTTCAACCAAAAGACACTCACATGGGTTTCATTTTTTTTCTTACCGCCTGCTGGGTGATCAGGTTTATCCAGTTTATCTGTCTTTCTTTTAACAGTATCTCTGGCCCCACCCCTTTCTGCGCTGCCACTTCCGTCTTCATACTCACCTTTTTGCCTGTCGCAGGTGAGCTGCCGCCTGCGAGGTCACCGCGGGTTGGAGAATTCCCCCGAAGAGCAGCACTGCTGGGATAAAGTTTCCCGAGCGACCCAGGCAGACCGGGACAAAGTCCTTCCTTCCGCCCCTTTTTTCTGTGGTTTAATGTTACAACATTCTACCTGTCCAGGTGAACTGCATGTAAGTATACTTTTTTTCCCCCCCACATTCAGCAAATCAACGAAAATCCAGTGTTTCTATTCAAAACAAAGTGGATTTAAGTTGTTCTAAATGGTGTCCGGTTCTGGTTTGGTTGACGCACGTTTAGATTGCATTTCAATGCATATTTGGTCCAGAGTGTTGTGATTTGACCGGTACGTTTGGATGTGAAAGACACTTTTTTCATGTATCTGTTCTGCTCAATTCGTGCGTCACTCTATTTAGCCAACGTCATACGTTTACATTCCGTACCTGAATAGACAGACTGCAATTGCTTTGAAATCCTCGTACTTTGTAAACGTTTCCTATAACTTTAAGGGTTCTATTTTTGTAGAGAGACGCACGTGCGCTCAACCGTGAAAACTGGCACATCTCCATTTTCTTGCTGGGGCAAGTCTACTATAACTGTGTTTGGGAATTTGGCAGTCTGCGCTGCGTCTGTGTGGGCATTCCGGTGTCATTTTCAGTTACACGTCTCCGCCACACCTGACAATTTGGTGACACAAAACTTTAGACCAGATAAAAGCATGTCTAAGTTGATCAATGAGTGGCCAGACAGATTCGGAGCCCTGTTAAGGTGTGGGGTGGATGTCATTGTATTTCAATCATAAATTGGACAACCGTGTGCATCAATGCCTCTGAATCAATGTAGAAATTCATTCATTGAATGAATGATTGTTTTCATATTTATTATAGTTTTAAAAGCAACAACTATAGGGTGGAGTTGTCACACACGGATTGGTGGTGTAAGGTGCCCACTTCACAGCAGCCAACTTTATATCAACCATAAGTGGAGTGCCGTTCTTTTTAGATCTGCTTGATGCTCGTCAATGTACTGCTTGGACTCCAGCGAGTCCGCCACTCCTATGTTGAATTTAAAAGGAATGAGGGGAGCCTCTTCCATTGGGCGAGAAAGAAGCTGGCTGTGTTCTCACCCACAACGGAGCAAACGTCCCTTTCTAGTGTGCTCAACTACAAAAACATCAAAAGCCACAGTTTGACTGCACTTAGTGCCAGAGTTGCATTAAAAATAGGCCCCAAAAAAATGGATGACACTGCAAAATTATGTTATAGCCTAACAACTCTTTTTCGAGAGGACTGTCAGACCGCATAGTTTGAACTAGCTATGTAGCTAACGGATTACCTAGCTGATTAGCTATCTATCTAGCTGTCTAGTTATCCCACTAGTTACCTAGATAGCGATATAAATAGTTGTTTAGAAATGTATATCTACCCTAGCCACCTTTCTGAATGTCTCTATCCAGCTATCTATTGAGCTACCTACTAGAGCTTGATATCGATCCAGCCATCTCTCCAGCAGTCTCGTTAGCTAGCTAGATACCTAGCTTTCTAACAAGCAAGTTGTCTCTTATGGTGTGAGAATCTATATGAAAAGAGTGTGAATTTGAATTTAGGAAGAGCAGGTTTAGGTGTGTGTGTGAGTGTGTGTGTGTTTTAATACTTTTTGTACTTAAAGTGGATTCCAACTAAGTTAATGTGGAAAAAAAAAAAATCTGCCTTCCTGGAATTTTCAATGATTCAGCAACATGTCTGAACAAAAAGGTGACTTGATTGTGTTTTGGCATGCCTGATGTTAATTTGTTGCTCCAAGTAAATGTTTAGTTTCATGTCCAAGCAGAGCCGCTCGCTCATCCGTCAAATGCGCTGCCAGTTAGCAGAAAAATACAGCTTCAATGTAATCTGTTCTAGGGCAGCCATTTTGTTATTTGTTTGTATTTTGAAGGCTTTCCACTTGGATCTTAAATGCTAGCTGCTTGCTTGAACCTTGTTAGCATCGTTTTGCAGTGCTGTTCCTCAAGTACATCACCATAAAATGCTCCACTTCCATTGTTTACGAACATCTGCGCCTCATTTTACATCACTCTGGGAAAAGTGCGGGAGACGATAAATACGAGCGACTTCTCTGGAATGATGGAAAATTGTACCTTTTATCCGCTAGGCTATATGGTGTACTTTTCACTCGCCGCCACTATCTTAGTGAGTGTCCTGTTTTTGGCTCTCCGGTATGGTTAAAAGTAGAAAGATGTTTTCACACTGGGTTGATTTTTGGACCAAAGTGTCAAAAATGGAAATTAGCTGACATGGCATAACATATCCTGATTAACTTTATTCAGGTCATTTCTGATCACGTAGGCTACCTGTAACTATGTGGTTGATTTGAAACATGAGTTTTTCAATTTGGTAAAATATTGAAGGATTTTTGCCTTGGAAAAAGTACAAATAATGATCCATACAACAAAGTGCACACATAAAGATTGTCGTTATGTGCGTAGCCTGCTATAAATATTAAAAATCAGTCTGCTTGCACTCTGCTTTTGTTGGCACTGGCCATCATCCAAGCATTTCGGGGACCAAAAAAAAAATCACTTTGAACACACCCCATGCTACAGGACCATATCTTCTGATAATCAGGCCATATTGTACTCCATTTTAATCTTTTCAAATGTTCACATTTGCATTCTTTTCTATTATTTGTCTGTTTTTAATCATTATACTCAATGAAAAGGCAAAACAAAAGAGGGCAAAACAACAGCAAAGCATGAACATATGTGCACTTACATAAACTGAAACGTGAGCCTGTCGTGCCAAGAGCCTTTCCCTTGTTTTGTTATCACAAATCACAGAGCAAGAAGTGATTACTGTGTAGTCTTGGAGTGTTTGTGTATTAGATTGCAGGGTGAGTTATTGATTAAGCGTTGGAGTTCAGGTGCATGTTGAACAACCGCCTTATCGCACCACCCCGCCCGCACACCCTCCCCAACGGCATGCGGGTGTGTGCGCTTTTGTCAAGGCATGTGTGTGCTCCATGTGCATGTCTGTACGCGCATTTGTGTGCATGGGAAAAGGCTTTTAATGTGTTATCCTCGTTCCAGATGCAGCTTGTATACCATTAAGCAGGCACTTTTGTCTATTCCCATTCCTGGAGTATGGTGAGGACAGAGATAAGAGCGGAGGGGACTGAAATAACCTGCTTAAATGTACAAATTCCTGTATCTGTTTTTCATCAATCAAATTATGATTTTTATTATTCTTATTTTACGAGCCAGTAGTGTAAAGATGTTCCTTTTTTTTCTTTTGCATTAAAGTAAAAAAAAAAAAAAGTTTTCAATTTGTGTTTTTTAAATTTCATTGTATTTCTTCCATGCGCATTACTCTATTTTATGTCTTCCGTGTATTTAATTTTAATTTTCCATTTTTGTTATTCGATTTGATTTAATCTATGCATCTAGTCTTTTCCACTAAGACGATTTGATCAAAAAACAGTTGACAATGATGATTTAACTAAAAATATCTTGCATTGTTTATGCAGGCTTACAGCTTTTGAGGTTCAATCTGGATGGGATCCCGTTTGCACATTTGGCAGCAATTGAATTCCAACTCTGCAAATCCCATTTCGCGTATGATCAGATCAGGCTGTCATTTAACAATTTTTTAGGAGGGTCTTATTTTATTTCCTTCCGTCAGTCTGTAGAGTGTTGTATGTGTCGTGCTGACATTGTGATGCGGCAGCCAAGATCCAATGACAGGTCCTGAAACCAAGTGGCATCCCGTTGTCTGAGCCCCATTGAGATGCCCATTGCCAAGGTGACGTTTGTCTGACTGAGCCCATCTGTTAGTGGCCTGCTTTCTGGATGACGTAAACCTAAGTAGCAACACAACAGAGAGAACTGGCGTTTTGGCTGCATACATGTTGCTCAACAGATTATCAGAACACTGAGCCCAACTTCTTTGCGTGTTAGGCCGACTACATCATCGGCAAGGGGGGATCTTGCAGTTTATCCACCAAATGTCATGCACGGACTCCAGTGAGTTCATTTATCTTTTTACAACGTCAAGCACGGCATACTTGTCCGCACTACGCTTTCAGTCATGCAACTGAGGGATGCCACAAGGATTGGCCAGGAAAAGACAATTTCCATCCAAAGGCCTTGTTACGACCAATTCTATCGGCAAAAAGTTTAGCAAAATACCAAAGGAAAGAACTGCCCCCATGTGCACAGTTAGACTGCACTTTGTGCTAGACATGCGCTCGGAACAAAAACAGGGCCCATCATCTGAAGTGAACCCCCCCCCCCCACGAGCCACAGTTTTTGCATGCTCCATCTTATTTAGTGCTCACCAAGGTGTCGAACGATAAAGTTTACACTTAGCCAAACGAACTCCACAATCAGAGCAACACTGGTCCGTCGAGCATTCACACTCGGCCACCCTAGAGGATGCTTGTAAGCAGACTTCGATCACCTAAAGAGGTTGTCTCAGTGGATCTCTCGGTTGTCGTGGGTTCTAGTTTTTGGAGGATTGTTTACACTTGACCAAACTAATCACACTATCATTGGTAAGTGGTGTGGGTCCACTTTGCGCACCAAGGTTCAGGCGGTAGTGTTGACATCTAACCATAACCAACCATGCTTCCTGAGCAAATATGGTCCCTGCCTTTGGTTCTCACTTGAGCTAAAGTGAATTGAACCGCACTGCAGTTTGTTGACCAAGATCCAGGACGAACTTTGCGATAGAAAAAATGTACGTGTGCATTTGTTCACTGACGTTTCATACTTCTTCTTTTCCTAGCTAAGTTACCCTCCAATATGTCCCGCTTGTGTCCACCTGATCGGGTCTAACCAGAACTGCAGCCTCAACTCACAATGGCGGAGGCCTCCGCACCACCTCTCGATGACCCCGTCTGCCAGATCTGCCTGCAACCACTCGTCCAACCGTCGGACACGCCCTGCGGACACACCTACTGTCAGGCGTGTCTTGCCAGCTGCCTTTTGGAGAGCAACCTTTGCCCGGTTTGCCACGAGCCCCTCAAACTGCAGAACTGCGTGGAACCCGGCATGCTTATGCACCAAATGATGGACAAGCTGGCTGTGACTTGCCCTGCCACTCAAGTCCAGGCCCCTGCTGACTTGGAGGACTCCATGAACAACAGGTAGGAAAATCCAAACACCGGTGTTGAGTGTGAATGCTAAAAATGAGAAGCCGGTAAGCTATGAATCCAGCTTGTTATTCTTAAAAATTGTTCCAAACATTTTCAGTGGGCAACCCGAACCTGCTGTGGCCATGGAGGACGCCCCACCGCCCTCGGCTCCCTCATCGGATTCGGGTCTTCAGTCGCCGCAAACGGACCTGTGTGTCTCCTGCGGTCACAGCCACCAGCTAGAGGAGAACCATGAGTACAATTACAAAGAAGAGGTAGACAGCGACCTGATGTGCCACATCTGCCTGCAGCCGCTTATCCGACCGCTGGACACACCTTGCGGGCACACGTACTGTCAGGAGTGCCTCACCAGTTTCCTGCTCGAGAGCGACTTCTGTCCAGTGTGTCGCGCGCCCCTCATGTTGCAGAACTGCAGGAAGCCAAGCTTGCTGGTGCACAAGCTGCTCGACAAGCTGACTGTGGTTTGCCCCTTCAAGGATCACTGCACTGAAGTTTTGGCCCGAGGTGACATGGAGGACCACATCAGAAGCAGGTGAGGAGGCTGATACCAAACTGTCGTTGATCAACAGGCCTTCGGAGCCAGTTCTTAGAGCAATATATACATACAAAGAAATGTACTGCCTATTTACCATGTGTTTAACTGACTAACCACTTTCTTCTAAATTGTCAAACTCCGGCTCCGTTGCCTAAAAGGGAAAGCTTTCATCCAAACTAACACAGCCCCCATGTTTATCCAACATTAAGAGCACTGTGTTTTGACTTCCTTTCGGGCCGGGCCGTGTTTTCATTAACGCTCATTAGCGCTCGGCTAGCCTGAAGGCCTCTGAGACGATGAGTGCATCTCAGCAAGATTATCACACACGAACCGCATAGCTACAGAGTCTCACTGTTTATCTTGAAAAGAAAATCTTTTTGTGTTTGCGTTTGAGATTGGTGTTTCTTCTCCTGGGTGAGCAGTGGCTCATTTGCACATGACTTGACCACCCCCTCAAAACAGGCCCTAGATGTAGATTTAGAACATCTTGAAATTGCTGTAAATTGTGATAAAATACAAACTAAGTCTCCTTAAAAAAAAAAAAAAAAAAAGAAGAGAACAAAAAGAATCTACATTAATGTCATTGTGAAATGCTAAAAAGCTCCAACTTGTGTGTGTGTGTAGCAGTTAGCTCATTGATGGCTAACTAGCAAGTGGTTACCGCTAACAGTTAGCAGTGTTGATTTTCTCGCCCAGTGTGTGATAACGGAATGACCGAAGGGCTTTCATGTGACTTTTGAAGTTTATTTTTCTTCTAAAGTACTATATATTGGCTACTTTTTTTAAGTAGCCAAGATCTCCATCTTTGACAAATGAACGTAGCAATCAGTGGCAACGCAACTTACTAGCAGGCGGTTAGCATGAGCAGCTCATGCTCATGTTTTCTTCTTCATTTGTCACAAAACAGCCTCCAGAAAGGAAATGACTCTTCAACTGTCTATTTGAATGAGCTACTCTGAAGTATCGCAATGACAGCGAGACACAGCAAGTTTTTGTGTGACATTTTAGCCATAGCTTTTCCCCAAAACTCTTCAGATTTTGAGGGCTCCGTTGTAACGTTGGCAACGTAAGCGGTCGAAATGCGTCACAGTTAACCAATTGCTAGCGACCCTTTTGCTATACGTGACAGGGCTTGGTCCCTATTGGTGAGGACCCCCTGTACTTACATCCATATGCTGAGATCTAACTTATACTTGACAGTAACAAGGAAACTTAAGGTGGACTGTCGCGGTACAGCGCGTCCGTGATTCTTTACACCTTACGTTGCCTCTCGCTGGGGAGGAACGGCACATTCTCACAGTAACTCGGGATAGGAAGCAATTATAAACCACTCCTGCGAATGACACCCCCCACCACACTTGCCACAGTGGGAGGGGCTGGCAGCAATGTCAGCGAGCAATCTGGCAGCGGTTCAAGTGTTGTCATGGCTGAGACCGCCGTGCCGTGCCATCTGGTCATGTTGCTGCTTTCACGCTTGTTGAATCCTGCTTGGTGTCGGGAGTGTTGATGAAGAGTTATTCAAGGCGCAATCCGATGTAAAATGGGCGACGTTTTCATCGGAGACATTCAATATCCCCACCGGCTTTGATGGCTGATCGTGTCGGAACTTGTTTGGAATCCGGCCTCATGTAGCTTCAAGTTGACAACAGCTTTTCTTCAGTGCCACAAGACATGTTAAGGGACACTTAATTAGGGACTAATGCTATTTAGATCCAAAGCAAAAGAGTGGTCAAAATCAATCAGTGCCTGATTTGCAAGCTTGTGAGTTTTTGGTAAGATTGTCTATCCTTGTCAGTTGTCGTATTTTTCATAGAGTTCCGACTCGCACCTAAAATCTCTAATTACCAATCATGTTAAGGCCAGCGAATTATGTTCAAATTTATTTGTCATCATCCAAAAAATGAAAAATTCAATTTTATCTAAATGGTAAATGGAATGCACTTATATTCAACTTTATCTTCATCCTACATTTACAAAGGTATATTCAATTATCTCATTCAAACATATCGGAGTGTAGCCTCCAGCGGCACGTTGATGAAACGCTTCAAACCACGGAGAGGTTTTCCTTTTTAGTTTAAAATAACTTACCTTAATCTCCAGGTTACCATGCTGCACCCTGCCCAACGGCAGAACCCTGGATGTTTTCCTTGTCGTTCGACCCATTTTAAAGCCGTCCCAATCGGTTGTACTAGCCTCGTTCTAGCTAGCGCTAAGCTAGTTTGGCCCTTAGGTCCGGCAAACTCCCTTTGCTGCTTTAATTGCTATTTGGGGTTGTCGATTGCGGTTTAATAGAAGTACACTGCATCATAACAACAGAAATGTTGTCATATTTTGATCCTCTCACATGGCGAACATAAAACTGAACAAATACAATGCCAAATTGTATGTTCCCTCACCGTGATTATTCAACTCATCCATTATGTATATACAATAGCTTCAATCCCCATCTTTTTAGTCAAAGTGAGAGTAATAGAGCAACACGGCAGGGTGATTATTACTGTGAAGTAATAATCGTTTGCCATGGGTGGGAAATTAACAAGGAAATTTGAGACGTGAGTGTGTCGGAGCGTTAATGTAGAAAGCTATTAAACGACTCCTCAAGGGGCCACGCCACTTTCCACACGCAAACTGCGTCCCATCGCAATTTCCATTTCCCCGCATACCCTGCGGACTATTCAAATAGGACAGGAAAATGTACTGTGCACCACAGCGACACATTCAGCCTGTAACCGAAGCGCTTCCATGCGGCCTCGTTGATTTACGACCTGCTGAAAGAAAAAAAAAAATCTGCGCTGACAAAATCAATTGTGTTAAGCGTACCAATTATAATGACTGTTATTGGACAATTTTAGGACCGGAAACGAAGCTTGATCTTTCACTGGATTTTTTTTTTTACTTCTAAAAGTATCATAATTCTTGTTTGTTGACTTTAATTTAGCCACTTGATTTTAACAAGTGTGCATCAAACAGATATTTACTGTCTGTCTGTTCTTTTCACCATTCATTCTCCAAGGTTGGCCACTGTCGGTTCATTAAATTAAAAGTAACAACGCTGTGAGTCATACTGGGCGAACGTCTAGTTGAAGTAAGTTTAAAAAAAGTAGCATATTTTCCGCACTATAAGGCATTTTGAAGTATAAGGCGCACCTTCAGTGAATGACCTATGTTAAAACTGTTTTCGTATATAGGGCGCACCGCATTATAAGGCGCATAGAATAGAAGCTACAATAGTGGCCGCGGTTGTGTAGTGCATCCACTAGATGGAGCTATGCTCGAGAGAATACAATACAATACAGTTTATCCAAACTTACCTCACTGGTGATTGCTTCAGCGAATATCGATGCTTTTTCTTTGTTTTGATGGGGAACGTCGCCCCTACCAACATGGCCGCCACCTAGGTATGCCTGTTAGCCAGATCTGTGCTGGATGGCCATTTCTCAATGTAAAGAAGACAGAGTACGGTCTCGTGAACTCGCAGAGCGCGGTCTTTTTAAGAACGTACGCAAGAATGGTCTTCCGAACATGAGTCTCTTTGTAAAATAGAACGGCTGTGTACTTCTCAACTTCCCCCCGACTCTGATATTTTTCCGTAAAAACAGCACGAAATTTATCTTGGATTCGTTGTTTTTTTTTCCCAGCCAAGTCATCCCAAGTATGCAACCGATGCATTCTTGCTTTAAGCTAGCTGACAAGAACAGCAACGGGTATTCCGTGCCTTCTTGCTTGATTCGTACTTTCAATTGGAACAGCACTTGGACTGACATGACATCACATCACAAGGACTAAACAGACAAGAACTCAAATTGAGAAACGGCTTCTATCTGGGACGACAATCGAATTTTTCTCCCAAGTCAAGGTACCCCTGCACCGTGAACAACAGCTCCCGTCCCCGCTTGGCACATTGAGTCCCTGTTGTGTTTTGCTCCTGTCGACTCTTTCGCGCATCAACTCTATACAGTAGGCAGGTTCATTCCAGCCGTCACACCAATCTGCTGCACAGCGAGTGGCCCATCGATGAAGAGGATCGAGGGCCGGGGGGGTGGGGAGTGATTCCCTCATCCTCATCCTCCTGCTCGCTCTCCTCTCCTTGGGAGGCCAATTGCGGAGGACGTACACATGTGTGCGTCGCACGCCGCGTGAGTGTATGTGTGTGAGGGAAGAGCCGACGGCAGCGGCCAAGCAGGTAGCCCCCGCCCCTCTCCCCTCCTTCCTCAATTTGGTCCGTTCCATCTCACCACCACCGCCACCCTCCCTCCTGCTCATTGGTTTCTGCTGCAGTATAAGTCACAGCCTGCGCTCTTGTCTCTAACGCACACACGCGCACGGATGGAGACAAACACACACGCATACGAGCACAAATCCTCTTACAACTGGCCGCTGCCCAGAACAGATTAAAGGGGGGGGCTGCACATCTCCGATTGTAGTCCAAATGTGCCACCTTCCTCCTCCTCCTTCTTCTTCTTTCTCCACTTTGTCCTCTTCCTGCTCTACAACAGCGGGACCTTCTTCTTCTTGTCCATCGTCTCCTTATTCATCTTCCTCCGACGTCCTCTGGCCCGCCTGAGGCACAGGAGCGACCTGTCCAGCTTTGCGGGACGGAAAGGATTCATTCTGGCAAGATAAGAGAAGAGAGGGGTGGCGGCGGGGAGTTAGTGGGGTGGGGGTTTGCGCGGGGGGGCTGGGGACGAGTAGGAGAAGACGAAGAGGGAGCCAGAAGAGCGCGGCGAGGAGCCAGCAGAGCAGGGAAGGGAAGGAGGCGACCATGAAGGCTCTGTTGCTGCTGGTTCTGCCCTGGCTCAGCCCGGCCAACTACACTGACAATTTGGGCAACCTGCACATCCTCTATTCCGAGCTGTGAGTACAAACCCCCCGACCCCCCACCCCTCACCCCTCACCCCTCATGCCGTCAAACCATAACATCAACAACACCCCCCCACCACCACCCCTGACCTGCCCATCCTTCCCATTCCACTCCATAATTGCGTGGAAACAATGTGTTTACCTTCAGGCTTGCTCCCATTCATATCATCGGATGACTCGAAGCGGGGCACATACCGTAGACGCGCTCGAGTCTGCAGGTAGAGCATCGCGCTCTCCGGGACTGTTTGGATGCTGCAGCTTTTGGCGCTGACAACCAGTGAAACTGCCACAGAGCCACCCTGGATGATGCGCTTTTCACAAACGGCGCAGCTTAGCTTAGAAATGCGTATGGAGTGACGAATCAGGGTAACTAAATTCGCTTTTGGGTTACTCGGCTACTTTGTGTCATAGTTCATATCACAATTTTTTTTTTTTTTGGCGACGTTTGAAAGCAAAGCTCACAGCACGGTGAAAGAGTCGGTTTTGTTCCCTGTGCTTGCGTGGGATTCTCCTGGTACTTCGGCTTCCTCAAACATTCCCCAAAGAGGCACGTTAGCTTCATTAAAGGACTCCATACCGTTCAGAGGTGTAAATGTGAGTATGAATCATCGTTTGTCCCGATGTGAAACGCGAATAATAGCTGGCAACCAGTCCAAGGTATACTTAGATTCTTCCCCCATATATTGCAAGTGGGATAGGCTCCGTAGATACTGATCACACGCGACCCTAATGAGAACACACGCAATACAAAATGGATGAATGATAAATTTGGAAACGAAAGCACACCAACGCGGTTGTACTCTGATCAGTTGCCAAAACATGTGCTCCAGACGTCCAAATTGTTTTGCCAAATGGAAGCAAATGAAAGTCATTTTTATTTATTTATTTTTTTGCCTTTGAACTCGGGAGTCAATCATTGAAGCTGTTGTCAATGTATCGGAGAATTGATGAAGTGCTTCAGAAGAAGGCAGCTTGGCGTGACTTTTGTCAGCCCGTCTGCTGCTACAGTCAATAGATCTGTGTTTGAATGTCCAGTAGAGCGTTTCTCTGCAGTGTTCGTTTTTGTTTTTTTGTTTTTCAGGTACTCTGGCTCTTTCACGCATTCCAAAAACGTGCATGTTAGGTTGATCAAAGACTCTATCTAAATCCTCCATAGGTGGCAATGTGAGTGAAAATGCTTGCATGGTTTGCGATTGACAAGTCCGGCAGTGTACCTTGTCTGTGGATGGCTAGTTTCAGAAGAAGTCGACTTTCCACTCAGACTGCCGTCAGATGAGATGAGAAAAGAGAGTATAAGGTCACTTCCCGTGCTTTTTACCCTCCATCTGCCCGCACATACGCCCGCTTGACTTCTAATAGCGCCCGCTTACTGTATGTGGGTCAGTTGGAGCGTGGCGAGCTTCGGGGCAAAAAGTCATCGTGTGTGGGGGGGAAGCGTCTGCCTCTCACGATCGTTCGATTATGATGTGATGGACAAACGTGGACGTCGTGTTTTTCCGGCTGGCTGGAGACAGTGGTCACGCTCCATTTTTCTTCGTCTTCCAATCTGACAGGAGTAGGTTCGCTCCGTTCGCCTGCTCGCCTTTTACTGTTGCTTTTATTCTCAAGGGTGTGTGTTTTGTACTGGGTTTACCTGATGTGAATGCAGTGTGCAATGCTGTGGAATATAGACAGGTGGATATTAGAGCCGCAGGGGGTGGGGGATGATCGGTGGGGCGCAGGGTTAGATGGCGGTAGTGAAATTTCTGCAATAGACAAATCCTTTCTTCAGAAAGAATTGTCTTTATTCCAACAGCGAGGCAAAAAATTAAAAGGCAGCTTCAGCCGGATCCCACTCGGCTCTGCGCCAAAGAGAGATACAGTTTTGGTTCACAGGCAACAATCGATTTCTCTATTCTGTATAACATTGTCTTCAAGGGATGAATAGGAGGAAAGGAAATATGTGGCAAAACAATCAGTCTCAATGTAATGTGAGGCATAACAATCACATATCCACGCAGCAAAAAAACATCACTCAAAGCTACGTGTGGCATAATCACAAATTCCCCTACGAAAACAATCACACTTAAAACTAGTTGTGGCATAACAATCACACACTTGCGCAGTAAACGTATCACTCTCAAAGCTACATCTGGCATAAAAATCGCATGCTCATCTATGTGTCATGACAATCATATACCTGTGTATGTAGCATAACAATTCCTTGCTTTTTTCATGTGGCATAACAATCACACTGGTGTATGTGGCAGAGCAATCACACGCCCATCCTCTTAAAACGATCACTCCCGAAGCTGTGTGCCATAACAATGACGCACATGCATAGCCCAAATAATCACTCTCAAAGTTAGAATGCGTTGTATAACAATCACACACCTGTGTAGTAAAAAAAAAGTAATTCCAAAAGTTTTGTGTCTCATAAAATGACCCACTCCATAACAATCATATACATGTGTAGTACAAAATCACTTTCAAATCCACATAATTTTACTGTGCTTGTGCTTTCTATTACTTTGTCTTCCTAATGTTATTGTCTGTTGTTGTGGGAATTATTTTTGCTCCATGTACAGGACTTTGTATACAGCGGTGGTTGTTTTAAAGTGCTTAAAAATGCAGTCGCGTTAAGTTGTATAAACACAGCCCGTATGCAAGTAGGGGCGGTCACCCATCAGACAGATGGAGGTGCTGTCGAAAAAAAAAAAAAAAAACGGTGCGCTATTTGTAATGTACATTACCGCCACCTACAGGGCCGTAGTCGTGGTACAATATAAGGGAAAAAAAGTGTGTTTTCTCCTCAAAGGCTCAACTTCTTAAACACTACCATTAGCCCGGCAATGCTCAAACGTTCAGCCCGCATCTGCAGGGTGTTTGATCACGCTTCAGCATGGACGCACCCTAACGGGATTAGCAACCCCGAAGGCACGCGCTAGCTGGATCCCAACTGTACGTGTCACTGGTTTTACAGCAGAGGTTCCGAGTCATAGGGTCATCGAACCTCATGACTCAATCTCTCAACTAATTAGACTTTTCGTCTGGGCCCCTGTCTCATTCTATTTGGACATTTGGAGGGCTAAAGGGTTCTGAAGTCGAATAAAAGAAAAAAAATATTGAAGCACACCTCAGAAAGGGAATATATTGGTCTTTGTGGTATTCGGGTAGCAGGCTTAGTTGGAAAATGTTGGTCTATAACAATCCTGTCAATGTGTGTCTCCGTTGAACAAAAACCACATCGCCTCGAAGGTTAGGACAAATAGCGATCAAGGTTCAATGTTAAATTCTAACTGTTGAGTGCGCAGAAAATAGGTGCAAGTTGGGTAGATAAATTCCAACCCCCATAAATAAACCAGAGGATCCAGTTAATGTGCATTAGACGCTTGCTTGATGACGTAAAACGCACGTATGTGCGCAGCGAGTGTGGTGCATCTGAATCATGCATGCTGCGTTTCATTTATTCATGCGGCTAAGTGAGTTTCGGGTTGGGACCGTTTCTCCCGCCAAACAAGCGGGAACATTTTTTACGATATACTCTGTTTACCGCACTATATCGCAAACCCTTTGTGTCGCAGTGCCGAAAGGAAGATCGTGAACATTCAAGAGAAGGTGAAATTCCTGGGTCGACTTTGGGGAGGCAGCCATTGTTTTGAGAACGCTTCATTTCGGGTTCTCGCGACATCACAACAAGCTCTGCAACTCCAGACTTTAGACATGACAGTCTTCCGTCTCCTTTGTTCCAACTTCTGACCCCCGCTTTATCACGCTGTTTGAGGCAATCGTTTTTCTGTGCGACGCATCTGGGAAAGGAGAGCGGCCACAGTCATCAATGAGCTCTTCTCTCGATGTATTTCCTCCGCAATGCACCACGCTTTAATATCCGCTCCTAAATCATTCAAGTGCTTTCCGTCGCCCAGATGGCTTAAGAAGGCTAAATCTGTTGACCCCCCGCCCGCAAATGTTGGCTCTTTGCGGCCGGTCAGAGCATTTTCTCATCGCTTCTTTTTGGCTCGTCGGCAGCAAGAGTGTAAGTGACAGCGGCGGCGTTAATCCCTCACGCGAGCGCCGTGAGCGCCAGGGCTTCGGGGTCAGGGTTGGCCGGGAGCTGGCCGCCTGTCAGCACGTGGAAGGGCGGGGTAACCGGGACGCTGCCTGCGGGAGGTCACATGAGGTAGAGATGGAGGCCAAAGCATTCTCTGCGATGGGTCTTTCTTTGTTGAGAGGATTACAACAGTTCAAGTCGGGGAAATTAGCCACGGTTTAGGTGCATATACTGGACAAAAGGGGCTTGACAAGGGCTACAGCGGATGGTCTCGGTGTGTGAAATGAGAGAGTTTCGCTGCTCTCTCGTGACAAAGTGACACGTGTGTGCACATGCAATTTTTTTTTTCTGATGGATGATGGACTGTTAGGATTCCTTCTTTTTTAGTTTTTCTTCTGTGACGGTCAGTTACATTTTTCCTCATATATATCTATCTATATCTATATCTATATATATATAGATGTATAGCGCTGTACAGAACATTTAAAACACGACTTCCAAGAAATCCGAATTGATCCGTATATAAGGTGCGTCGGATTATAAGGCGCACTGTTGACTTTTGAGCAAATGGAATACTTTTAGGTGCCCCTTATAGTGCGGAAAATATGGTGTCTATATAAATAATCAAATATATATATATAAAACACACACACACACACACACACACTGATGCTCTCCTGAGATCAAACAGAGACCAGTCCAGAGTGTGCTGTGGCAATAGCAGCAATAGTGGGAACTTCAACTACTTCTTTGGCTGTAAGGAGACACCTCAGTATAAAGACATCCTTCCAGTGCAATCAGGAGGTCGGCTCCACTTATGATTGGACGTATTGATTGGGCAGGAAAGCCATGACTCAGTCGAGCCAGCACGCCAAACCTGCTGAGCGGGCTGCAATGAAAAACAGACGTCTGACTTTCACCGCCTGTTGTTTTTTGAGGGACTGTGTGTGTATATGTCTCAGTTAAGTAACGTTTCTTGACTCCGTTAACAAACTTCCATATCACCAACACACGACCAAGGAATAATCCGCAGATTCCACAGGGCCTCCGCTGAATGTCGCCTGTCTAATGTCACACGGAACTTCACCCCGAACGCCTGCTGCCGCTCATGCAGCAGATGGGATGAACGTGCGCGTCGGGCGGATCCAATCAACGCGCCGTCCTCTGATTAACACTTCTCTAATTCGCCATTAACAGGATTATCTGCCGTTATGGGCCTCGGCTCACTCCTGGCGGCCGTTCCGACGCAACTTCACACATCTGGCGCGGAGCTGTGGAGATTGCGTGATGAAGGCCTAACTGATAAACGAATCTAACTTCGGCTGTTTTTGAATGGCCGAGTCAAGTCTTATTTTGCAGGAAGTGGAGGTGTAATGTGCATTAGCCACAGTGCAGCTAAGCCTCTGGCTAGCTTATGTCACGGCTAGTGGGAGCATGCTTTTTTTCTGTAGCAACCTCACATGCCACAAGATGGCACCAAAGCCCAGGTTAATAGGAAATTAGTCATTAGGTGTCAAGGTAGAATGTTGAAACGATGCATCAAGACTGAAGGGGAGGAGCTAAGTTTAGCCAGTGTTGTTAGCGCAAGTCCCAGAGAATTTACATCACAGGTGGATGTTTTTTGCTGGCCGCCTTTATTTTTCATGGTAGTAGTAAGATGTTAGCTTCAAATTACTTTTAAGTGTTTCTGGGTATGTTTGCGCAGTAAAGCGTTCTCAAACACCCAAAGTTGTAAGAAATCACGTTTCTATCTATCTATCTATCTATCTATCTATCTATCTATCTATCTATCTATCTAGCAAGCTAGCTAGCTTGCTAGCTATCTATTTAGTACCTTTGCTTACTTGAAAACAGATGTAAATGTAATCTAAGAAATGTGTGAATCTGAAGACTGCACCAGTCTTCTATCTGCATTGTAGTTGCTGTCGGCAGCTTCTCCCATGCATAATATTTCACATTGTTTTTTTTTTGTTTTCTTTTTTTTTTGTCTCACATTCTTCGGTGAGAAATAGCCACGGGCGTCCTCCGGGCTGGCAGACACCGCATATGTTTTTTTCTTTTATTTATTTTATTCCCCCCACCACTCAGCTTTTTACGTGTCAGGTGTATCTGATGTATATTCCGAGCGCTTAAGAAAATTGGCTGCCGGAATTCAAAATTGGCAATGACGTCCCCTGATTTTTTTTTTTTTTTTTTTTTTTTTTTCCGATCAATACATCCAAGACAGAGGAGCCGGCGGACTGCTCTCTGAGGATTTGTTGTCGACGGGCGGCAAACAAAAGATGCCATTTTTCGAGGCCATGTTATGTGAAAACACAATGTGAAGTGAATACACAAGAGAGAAACAACAGAGGCGATGACCGCGTTTCTTTTCAGACCACGCGGTTAATGCAGTCACGCTTCTTTCCCTTGTGCCGACTGTCTTTGCGCGCTCTTTGTTTCAGAGCTGCTAATTGCCTCAGCCAACGTGGTATTATAGCACATTTGGATGCAAATATGGATAATCGGGATGGGGGAAGATGACGGGCTTAGGCTGGGCTTACAAGATGCATTTCAAGCAAGACAATTGCGACATTTCTCCCATGCTGCGCGGTTGAGTCCAACATGATTTGAATTTGGCCTTTTTTTTGGTTTTTTGGTTTTTTGTACTCCTTGTGGACTGACATTTTACTCATTTTTTCAGTGCTACTTCTGTTCTGAGGGAAAGTGACGCCATTTTTATTTTTACATTTTATTTTACATTTTAATTCTGTCAGGATTACTTTTGCCGTGATAGTCATTTTCTCCATTTTTGTTTTGTTTTATTTCCGCAATGATTTTTCACCCTATCAGCTTGACATGAGCTGCTAAAAACTGACATACTTTACATTTTCTACATCCTTGACAAGCTACAGGAAAGGCCCTTCCGAGGATGCCTGCAGTATGTGAGAATGCCACTCCTTTGACCCTCAGTCATCTCGGCAGCTGTGGTGTTTGGCGGAGGGGGGGCTCATTTTCAACGCGGTGTCGGTCGTCAGCGAGAGTATGTGGGTTAGGAAGGATAATCCATGCGCGCCCCAAAGAGGATTGGAGAGTCTCACAGGCTTTGATGACTCCTGAGCCGGGTGTTTATTTCCCAGCGCGTCAACATGGCTGTTTTGTGTCGCATCCGGGCACGCCCTACAGCATTGTGGGTAATTGTGACTGCGCTCGGAGACGAGAGATGAAGGGTGGGGGCGGCGAGGGGTGCGCCGGGTATCTTTTGCGCCTTATCGCGTCCCACATCGGAGGAATGACGCAAGAACGAAGCCGGGGCGAGGATACGGCGGCGCCAACAAGCATCCACTGAGTTGCCTGCGGTGGAGCCACCGTGATTGTCATGCGTATGTTTATTTTAGATCTGGGTACATTCATGTACTTTGTACCCCGACAATCTTTGCCGGCATCCGCCCTTGTAGCAGGAGACACCATTTAGTCAGTCAGGCTTTTCTCCTGACAGGCCGTGGCCTTAAAATGAAAAATCCGAACGGTAGACATGAAGTGAATGCTTGAAAGACTTTCTTCCTTTCCGATACAAGGCAACGCTATTAATAAACACACTTTCACATCAGACTCGCCATTTTTCTGCTGCGAAACTGATTTTCTCGTGATGTGACAACACTAAATATATTCTCTTTGCCCGTTGAAGACATGTTACGTATTTGGGGTTTTTTTTTCCACGCGACTTTTAACTCATTTCATGACCCATGAAATGAACAACAATCCCATTCATCGCTTCCAGTCTACCCATAAACCTTTTTTTGTTTTTGTTGGGTCTCTGATAAATTAAAATGGCACAGTATTGTAGCAAAATGTAAGGGAAGAAGCTGGTTTTATCGTGTACCAATACTACGAATGTACACGCTGTCGTGTTTGCGTTCGATGTGTGACTTTAAGGGGCGCGGCCTAGTCAGCAAAGTCAGGAGCTTGAGTCAAGTTGGCCCAACAGCAGCTTTTTGAGGGTGATCTCATCTTCCATTGTTGTGTCGTGTGCATTGTGAGGACTTTCTCTCCTTGCCTACACGGGAGGGCATGACAGTACCTCAAGAGTTCCCAATTGTTGGTTTTTTTTCTTGGGTTTATTTTTTTGGGTGTGTATCAGGGGCTCGTTCGCGACCACTGTAACATTTCATGTGTTACTACAAATAAGTGTAAGGTTCATTTCTGGTTGGTTGGCAGGCAATCCAGAGACCTAACGTAAAAACAAAAAAAAAAAAAAAAAGCAGTTTTCTATCACATCCCCTACAAAGCGCCATACAAAAAAAACAAAAACAAATGACGATGACTGCACTCTTGGCTATGTTTGCGTCCATGTGGTTTTCACTGACGCACAATTCATGCTCAAACGGCGCGGTGTCAACGAGCCGACTAAGGAAGGGCCGAGCAACAAAACGCTTCCATTTCAAACGCGCAGTAAACGTCTATCGAGCAAGCGCGTGTATTAATTAAGCTATCACGTAAACGAGGAAGTGGATACTGAATGCATCGCAATCGTATTACGCTGCCCGCCATAAACAGCTGCTTGATGGGATTTCGTGCAGACTCTTTTTATTTCAGTGAGCTCTCAATGGTTTTATCTCGACGATATTACTAACACATATTTTTCTATCAAAAAAAAAAAAATTTGGTACTGACGAATGTTGTACATTTAAGATCGACAGGTCTGATCCATATTTTTTTTAAGCAATATACATCTCACTGTAAATAGCTTCCATTCAGACCAAAAATTTAGCGCCCCCCCCCCCCCCACTTACCTGCACACCCCCTGCTCTGAAGCGGATTGACATATTGCTCCATTCAACCACTTTAGCAGGTTAACTTCCATGTTGCCGCAGCGACATGCTTGATGGCATTCAATTTACTCACCGAACGAGCAGGAATAACTCTCAGAGGCCGGCCCCGCTCGTGTTACGTAAGAGTGCGGCGGCTCGATGGGATCGATGGCGACTCGTGGAGGGGGACGGGGGGAGCCTTTGTGTAAAGCTCTCCCCGACCCGCTGTGATCTGTGACTGAAAGTAAAAGATGCCAGCGATATGTAGAGAGGCAAAGGAATGTTAGTTTCCCCGTGAAATATGGACACAGTCAGGTCAGCCAGTTCTCTGCAGGACTTCGAATTATCTTTTTTTTTTTTTTTTTTAAACCCTCTGGTTGGGCCCGGAGAATGGATTTTACTTCTCTGAGCTTGGGTTTGATCCAGCTCATTACGGCCCACTTAATGTCCATGCTGATGGCTCCGCAGAGACGACCGGAGGAAGGCGAGGCAGAGCTCGTTTCTGTCTCTGATGAAGCGCAAATGGATGAAAAAAAAAAAAAAAAACGATTCCACTGGGATTGCTTTACCTGGATCTGGAAAGTCCGTCTGCACCATGTCTAACTGTGCTCAAGTGTCGATGTTGATTACTGTGGATGGGCCAGAAGACATTTTTTGTTGAATCCACCTTTGATTTCTTCTAAAATACCCAAAAGGAAGTCTTCTCCCATGGGTTTTTTTGACCGTGACCTTTTCAATCTCTCTCATGAATGTATTGACTTTTACCCCGAGCTCCTTGGTGCCAAAAACCGCTTCAACACATTATTCAACAATGATTCATGAAAATATCACCCACGCGTTATTTGCCCGACATGCTGACACTCTCTTCCCCCCCACACCCTCTTGTCGATAAAGGTGTAAAGGCGCCTCTCACTATGGCCTCTCAGCGGACAGGAAGCGGCGCTCTCAGGAGGGCGAGTGCACGGACAGCACGTCGGAGCTCACCATCGCCACGTTGCCCGGCGACGGCCCCGCGTCCGCCGCCGTGGCCCTGCTGTCAGACGAGGCGGGTTTAGTCAACCCGGCTTTTGACGCCAGCATGGAGGAGCACAGCCAGTCGGGCAGCACCACCAGCCTGGCGGCCCGTTGCAGCAGCAAGAAGAGTGAGTGTGAGTTGCTCATCATGGTAAAAAAATAAATAAAAAATTGTTTCACTTAGCGGCATGTAATTTGGTGGGTTCGTCGTTCATGGGCAGGCCCACAAAAAGTCTTGATAGGACACAGGAAGCCTTCTATTTTTATTTGGTTAATATATGCCTTCATGAAAATTCACAGTTGAAGCCAGTTTTACTTTGAAGCTTGTCTTGGTCTTGCCACTGAATTAAATTTCGAAAATTCACAGTTGAAGCCAGTTTTACTTTGAAGCATGAAATTTGAGTAGACGCACCAAAAAATAAAAATAAAAAAAATAGTCTCAGGATCCCTTGCCCAAAAAGGTACAGGAATTCCATAATTTTGGTTCAAAAAAGCAATTTTTGCAGAATCAACTGAAAATTTTGCTCAGTCACCCCTCTCCCCCCCAACCCCCTCCTTTGTAATTTTGGGAAAATTCAGCTCCCAATGTCAGTTTCACTTAGCAACATGAAATTTGGTGGGCATGTCTATCATGACTAGATCCACAAATAAATCTCGTGAACCCATACCCCAAAATTCATGTCTTCTTTTGATTTGAAGCAGCCATTTTAGCAGCATAAAGGCCCTCATAAATTGTCTGAAAAATTTTCTCAGTCACATATTTTTGGAAAAATTCAGCCCACAAAACCAGTTTGTTTGACTCGCAAAAGTCGACCCACAAAACAGTCCCGTTTCTGAAAAGACACAGAAAGTCCGTCAAGTTCGCGGTTGCTAAGGCTCATTTGAATTTACTCTGTGCTCTTCTCAGACCAATTTCCTAGACCCCCCCCAAGAATTTTTGGGGAAAATGTTCATCTTCTGAAACCAGTTTCCCTTAGCAACATGTAATTTGGTTGGCATGTCTGTCTCAAGTACAAACGTCTCATGAGCCCATGCTCAAAATATCACGTGAAGTCTTTATTTTATTTTGAAGCCGCCATTTTGGATGATATTGTTTTGTCCAACGACTGCCTCATGCAGAAAAACAGAATCGTAAAGAGATGGAGATGGAGTTTAAATATAGCCGGTGCTAGCATGCGTCGAAAGTGACATCTCCCACCTGAACGCAATCAAAATTCCCCGCCCATAACTTCAGCGTTCAGTCATCGGGGACCCCAAATGACGTCGTGAAGCACTTTCCACCGCGGGCCGCCGCCGCCGCCGCCGTGCGCGTCACCAACGCTGAGCAAGCTGTCACGGCCAGAAGCAACCGCAGCTTTTAAAGAATAATGTGGCTGTCAGGAGCCATCGCGTCTCAGCTCCGTAGAGGGCGGCGAGGGGAACGGTGACGGTGGTGTCGAGGCCACGGTGGGGCACGGTGACGCTATTTTCAGTCTTTTCAAAGTTTCAAATTTGGAAGGGTTTTTTTTTTTCCCTCATACTTAAATGCGACTACGGGAAGAAATCTTACCCGAATAAAGTTGCATGATGTGTCTCATAGAAGTTCAACTCAACTCAACGCCGCCACCGAAACTAATTTTCAGTCCTGGAGTTTAATGGCTCACTCGATTTTTTTTTTTTCTTAATTATGTATTTTCCGCAGTCGGCATTTATTATTTCACTTGCCGCTGGAACTTTTCGATCACTGTTGCTGTATCATTAAACAGCACCATGTGTCAAATATTTGGAGCAGCACTACCAATCGGTGGAACTGATTTCAAAGGGCAGAAACCAGTCATCTGTTCTGTATTACCACGGAAGGAATCATTGGTTGATAAGTGGTGACCAAAGGTTGAACCAATCAGGTGCAAACCTCCGCAGCCCCTTCTCAGACATGTCCAGACATGTTGACTCCTCGTGTCTATAAAGTCCCTCGCATCCTCACTCCTCAACTCCCTTTTCCAGTGCGGAGCCGCTCTTTCCGGAGGCTCAACCGGGCGTTCAGCGTCCTGCGGAGGACCAAGAGTGGCACCGCCGTCAATCATGAGACCTCGGAGGAGCGGGATAACGCCAGGAATTCCAGCGTGCCACAAGGAGGTACGATTCAACAAGGAGTACCTTTTTGGAAAAAAAATGGAATATGATGGAATCCAATTCCTTCGGCCTTGCTGGATTTTACCGCCATTTTTGTTGATGTGTGGCCACTTACAGGCAGAGTCTGTCATTTTAAAGAATTTTAAGTGGTTTTTTTTTCTTTTACATCAATTCTTGCCATTAGTGTGAGCAACGAATATTTGAACAAAAAAAGTGGAGCAGCACATGTCGACACACGATACAACCATGCTCACAGGCATATCTTGTTTTTCCTCTGCGAAACACGACTAATATTATCGCAAGCCGCTGGCTCCTTGAGTGCTGACTCTTGTTTCAGTCTGCAAACCAAGGCTCAAAAAAAATTTTTTTTAAAGGGATTTAATGGTTGTTTTGGAAATTCAGCATAATTACATGACATTGCTCACTTGTTTTAATCTGGTCCAAAACTTTTTCATCTCAAGTGTTAAGTCAATAATCAAACCCATTTTAACCAAAATTGTATGATTAAAGTCAACAGTATGCTATTGATTTATTTAAGGAGTTGAAGTCAGAAATTCCAGAATCCAACACATTCCTCACCATTAGGAAGTTCCATCACAATTGGCCAGCAAAGAGCCCAGAGGGTTAAACTGCCGCATCTGCACTTTACGATTCCCCGAAGAGTGTGTGCATGTGTATTTGTGACGCTCCCCCAGCTGAAACAAGGACGGTGACACGGCTCCGAGCCCAAGCAGATGTTCCTTTTTAATAATTCAGCTGCACGTTGCATAAGAGTTGCATCGCGGGAGGCGAATCAGAACGTGGTGGAGAGTGCACGCCCGAGGCGCTTTCGGACAGGATGAAGCGGACGTCACGGGCCAAGAGTCTTCCTTCATTCGCTCGATCAACTACTTTGATGGAACGTCCCCGGGGAGTTGAGCATGTGCAACCCGCTGGAGCCGTTTGTCTTCCCTGATCATTTACTTCAAAGGAGACATTGTTATAATTCATTTTAGAATGTTTGTCGACAAAGTAACATGATGGAGAAGTGATACGCACATCTGCCTCACAGTCCTGAGGTTCTGGGTTAGACTCCGGCCAGTTCAGTGATGAAGTGCTGCCGACACAAGTGAAAATAGACTTTTTTTTTCTTTTTTTGGGGTGAGCCCTTGCTTTTTTGTTTTAAATTGTGAGGGGAAAAAAAAGAAGCTTTGAACGTCTCCTTTTAATATGCACACCCCGGCGACTATGCGGCACAGTCATATTTGAGGGACCGATGACAAACGAGCAGGGAATGAATATAGTAGGCAGAGACGCAAAATTAAAGATGCCTATTCGCAGCGGATACAAGCAGAAACACAAGAGCGATAACGGCGGAGTACGAGGAGAGGTGAGCGGAGTCGGGAGCTTTACCTCATCGCGGCGAACGGACTGCACGCTCGCCACCTTGAAGCAATACGCAGACCAAATATTGACTCTGGAAATGGAGAGAATGCAACGCCAGCGAAGGGGGGAAGGGACGACACGCCGCTTAAGAAAGTGCAACATCCTTTTTTTTTTTTTTGGTCTTTTCATTTGGAAAATGCAACATCACGCTTGTCTTTGTAGGGAATGGCACCATCAACAGCAGTCGTTTGTGTTTGGAGCAAAATTCAAAATGGACACTGCATCTGACTGAGTGAAATAGCTCCAAATTACAGCACGCGTTGCGAAACGAAGGATGTCTTTGTTCCTTTGCAGTCCGGGGCTTGAAAAAAAAACGCTTTGTTTCACAACAACACTGGCGTGCAACAGCAGCGGAGATTTGTAGTGGAGCTTGTTCCCATGCACATTGCGTACAGATGGATGTGACTAATTGCACAAACATCAAGCGAGGACAATCAGCCAAGCGCCTTTTGCTTTTTCTTGGCGCATACCAGTGTGTTTGAGTAACCTGAGGGAGTCGAGGCAGCTGCGCCGCCATCTTCCCAAACTTCTCGTTACTTCCTCTCCTGTTTAACTTGGCTTTCAAAACGTGTTTTTTTTTTTAATTGCACTGTACAGCTGGACTCAAACTTTTCTTCTTCTTCTTCTCCTGGTCCGTCAGTGTTGGCTCTGCCACAGCTTCACCACTTGATCCCCGACGGGGAAGTGACCAGTATTAAAATCACGCGGGCGGAGCCGTCGGAGCCGCTCGCCATCAGCATCGTCGGCGGCAACGAGACTCCGCTGGTGCGCATCCTCATCCAGGACATCTACAGGGAGGGGGTCATCGCCCGAGATGGACGCCTGCTCCCCGGGGACATGATCCTCAAGGTATCGCCGGGTCACCGTATCGGAGGGCTTGACCGGATATTGACGAATTGAAAATAGCGATCTGACGATCGAAAATAAATTCATCGATCTTGCTTTTTTGATTCCGCGCCATCGAATCCATTTTCTCCAAGGTGAACGGCATCGACATCAGCAACGTGTCGCACTGCTACGCGGTGGCCACCCTCAAGCAGCCGTGCCAGCTCCTGCGTCTCACCATCCTCCGAGAGCAACGCCACCGCTACCATCACCCGCACGTGGGCGCCGGCGCCGGGGGCCACCCGTCGCACGGCCTGCCCCATCACCACCCGTTCCGGGACGACAGCGTCCACGTGGTGCTGAGCAAAAGCGCGCCCGACGAGCAGCTGGGCATCAAGCTGGTGCGGCGGCCCGAGGAGCCCGGCCTGTACATCTTTGACCTGCTGGAGGGCGGCCTGGCGGCTCGGGATGGACAGCTGTGGGTCGGGGACCGCGTGCTCGCTATCAACGGACACGATCTGCGCTACGGAGCCCCGGAACATGCTGCGCTGCTCATACAGGTTGGTGAAGTGCAGACAAAATAATGTTCAGGCGGCCTGATTTGCCTTGCGTTGCTTCTAATGGAGGGGAGAAGAGAAAGCGGTTTATGTGCCTCGCTAGGTGCTGCTGTTTTGGCTCGCAACGTCGATTAAAATCATGTCTGCGTGCCAAAAATAGCATCAATGAACTGAGTCATTCTGATTACTATCCATTCTTTATTTTTATTTTCATCATGGAAAAATGAAGGTGTTTATTCGTCTCACCGGGAATGGACGTGCACGATTTGAGGAACCATATTAGTGTTCCTATGGCTCTCTTTCCAAACGGTATTAAAGGCAATTGTAGTGATTTGTGGTAATTGCTTGGCTGTCGACATTTGATTGCGCCGATTCCCTGACAAACCCATGCCAGTCGTCGGTTGGTGCGTTTGTTGGCTAATGGCGTTTAATTGCTGTTAAGTCGTTCAGGGTCTGCGGGCCTGAAGTTCTGACTGACTGGCTCTACCGGCTACTCCCTCTTGCACTCCCCGACCAGGCACTTTCTGACAGAGATTAACAGCCAGCCATCCTGAAATTAAATTAGGCCAATTAAGGCAATAATGGGCCCAAGACTGACTTATTAAGGAGTTGAGCTCTGTGCAGCAGAGACCGGGGCGACTCTCAGAGGAGGTGAGGTGACAGAAACAGTCGGTTAGTCGTCAGGCAAAAGTGTGAATAAATGCATGTGAATGGGAGGTCACCGGATGGCAAATGCAAGTTATTTTAAAAAAAGTAGCTCCTATAAAAGCTCTCCTACTACAATCCAAGCCAATCAAAGAAATGCCAGAACACTTACACAGTCGCTTATGCTCCTTAGGGGAGTGACTTCAATAAGAAATGAGACTCAATTATATTTGCCGCAAGCTATTTTAGGCTGAGAAAAAAATGGAGGATGAAAGTAATGGAGTTTGTCATCATAGCCTTTTGGAAGTTGTTATGAATCATTTTTTGGGGGCATTATTCAAAAAAAAAAAACCCACAAGCTATTTACTGGTGTTTTAGTGGAGTCTCTTTGGCTACGCAAACGTTAGCCTGCTAGCTAATGTTAGTTCGGTGACAGATGGAATCAGTTAGATGACACGTACCACCACTAACTTTTTCTAGTGACTATAAAGTAAAAACTTTTGAACGCTTTATTATACTTGTCCAAAATATATTGTTTTGTTTTTTTTTTTGTCTCCAGTTAGCTAATGGTAGCCAGCTAGCTGAGATGCATGCTATTTCAAGCTCTTTGTCACTCAGAGTTGGCATTTACTGATAAAGCTGACACATTGGAAAAAAAGAAAAAAAAAAGCGATGAAACATTTTATATGTATTTAAACACCAAAATGTTCAACCAAGATGTAGAATTTTGTTGGAATGAGCTCTGTTAGCTTAATGCCAACATTTAATGCAACATCCTAGACACGCTAACGGAGAGTAGCGCGGATGAAATGTTCAACCAAACCTTATTTACCATATTTAACAAAGCTCGTCTTCTTTTGCCAGGCGAGCGAGGAAGGCGTGCACTTCGTCGTGTCCCGTCAGATCTGCTTGCCTGCGCCCGACATCCTCCAAGAAGCTCCATGGGGCATGGACGGCCCCCCGCCATATTCCCCGGTGGACATTGAGCAAACACTGCTGGTCAGCACACACAAAAAAAAAAAAAACACACTGACATCGAATGTGACTCGGAAATTAATTGATTGCAAATCCCGTAGGACTCGTGCCAGAAGCCCGCCTGCTACGAGAAGACGGTTACGTTGACCAAGGAGCCATACGACTCGCTGGGCATGGCCGTGGCCGGCGGCATGTCCAGCCGCGGTTGGGACCTGCCCATCTACGTCACAAACGTGGACCCCGACGGAGTTGTAGGCCAGGAGGGTTCCATACGCAAAGGTAACATTGGGATGCACACTTTTTATTAAAAAAAAATTGCTGTGTCAAACGCAGACCAAAAAAATGTTCTGTACCTTGAATGTGTGATGAATGAAATACATTTCCATTCCATGTTGTGCACTACCAGGCACAATTTTACCGCACCAAGCAGCGCTGATGAATTTGTGCCATATGCTGATTGACGAACACGCGTTTAATTATGAAAGTTAATCATGCGGCGGTGGTGGTTCAGCGCTCCGCAAATTGTCTCCCAACACAGAGAAAATATTAGCATTAGCGTAGCACCGGGAAGGAGGGAACTTGTCTGCAGGATCATTTTATGTCATGGCAATACTCGTGAGGTAGATTTTGCTGACTCGTGTGTCCTTAATGCATATTAGGCCTGCCATTGACCCTCCATGCATGAATCTCTCTTTATGAGATTCTGAAGGCTGAATGGGTCACATTGCTATGTTGCGCACCATTGTTGCTCTTTCACCCTCCTTTTGTTATTTATTTTTTTCCTAGCGCTTTAGTGCTAATGCCCCTTGGTCAAATTGACCTGGGGCATGTTTAAATCCTTTATGTATTTGTGTGATAATACTGAAGATTACTGTACTGTATATCATTAAGGTTTTCATTGACCTTAATAAGCCCTTTGCTACAATTGATAAGAAAATTGGAACGATATGATTTGATATAGTAACAGAAGAAAAGCACAATCATGGCTTATTGACATATCTTGCAAAGAGAAACTCATGTGTGCATTTAAATGAGGTCAAATCAGAATTGACTAAAGTAATATGTGGAGTTCCCCAGAGATCAATTCTCTGTCCATTATTCTTCTTTCCCATAATATGCAGTCATATTATATTCTGAACGATAACTGGAAGGTATCAGAGATCCTCAAACATGTACTTTTTGCTGATAATACCGCTCTGCTTTTTTCTGGGAAGAATTTAACTGAACACAATACAAGAGGAATTAAACACTTTGAAACAATGGATTAATCCCAATAATCATTTTTGGTATCTCATTCTTAACTCCATACATCTAACCATTGCTTTGCAAATTTATGATATTATTAAGCCAAGCAGAAAAGTACTTTGGAGTTCTTTTCTAAATGAAATGGGTCAATTAGACCCACAACTTAACAGGAGGCTGAATAAATATTCATGATATTTGCATATGCTCACACAGCAACGTGTCATTCAGGTGGCGGCTCGAAAGCACCCTTTGTTCTTTGCAAAAGCACAGGTGGCGCTCACCCGGGGCGCCTTTGGAGGTTGTTGAATATTTCATGGAGCTCACTCTTCCCCTCGTCTAGGCGACATCTTACTCAACGTGAACGGCGTGGATCTGACGGGAGTGACGCGGAGCGAGGCCGTGGCGAACCTGAAGAACACCTCGTCGCCTGTGGTACTCAAAGTCCTGGAGATGCGGCCCCCCGATGAGGGTCTGCCGGAGGGCGAGCTGCCGCCATGCCTGGCGTCCTCGCCCGACAGCACCACCAAGAGCCCGCTGCCCAACAATGACTACTCCCCGCTGTGGGTGTCATGGCTGCAGCTGCCCAGGTTCGTCATTGGAGAAGTTCTTTCAAAGAGGAAGAAAAAAAAAACACCTAAAAGTTGTTCTACGTAGAGGATAAATGACATGACAAGCTGTCCAGTGTCATAACTGCTGTCCCTGAAAGGGTTAAAGGGGTAAAACACCACAGCATATATGCTAATTAGCATCAAGCTATTAAGACTCTCATTCAGTAGTTGTCAGGTTGTTTTAAATCCACTTTTAGTCTGACAGTAAACGGCAACTAAGAGTCGAGCAATTTTGTCAGAACAAAAGTTCATGAGAGGTTAACAGAAATGATCATCGATATTACGCTAATTATAAACAGTAAAGACCTGCTAGTTTAATACATACGGGATGTTGCAAAATGAAGTGGTACTAAAACTTTTAAGTTGGATTCGTCTCGCCAAAGAAGAACCGCAATGTAGAGGTCGAAAAAAAATATATATATTGGGTGGCAGCCAATTTAGCATTCTGACCAAGGACAATAAAATGTGCTTTGGATGGAAAAATGATATATGTACAAATATTCGCCACTTTAAGAATTTTACGTTGGACTCACCTGAAAAACGATTTGCACGCTATTTAGTAATAATAGTATTTAGTCGTGTGTGTGCGTGTGTCCTGCCATGCATGTGTGTGTACATATATGCATGACATCATCGCTTCTATTTCTGATTTGAAATGATCTCCGTCATCTTTTGTGACACACTTTTGAAGTGGATTTAACACCGGCTTTGATCAATCACATGCTGCTTTGATCCCGCAGGCACCTGTACGGCTGCAAGGACATCGTGCTGCGGCGGAGCATGTCAGGCAGCCTGGGGTTCAGCATCGTGGGGGGCCAGGAGGAAGTCAACTGCAACCAGTGCTTTTTTATACGCTCCATCGTCAAGGGCACGCCGGCCTACAACGATGGCGGAATAAGGTACGATGCAAGTCCAGATTTGCGGTTTTCTTTCCTGCCAATTATTTACCGATCTGCATGTTCGTAGGTGCGGGGACATCCTACTGGAGGTGAACGGAAAGAGTACGTGGGGCATGACCCACATGGCGTTGGTACGTCTCCTCAAGGAACTACGGGGAAGGATCACGTTGACCATCGTGTCGTGGCCGGGAAGCTTGATGTAAATGGACTTTTGAGTGGCGCTCTCATGAGACTGGACTTTTTTTTTTTGTCTCTGGGAACATGGACACCGAACATTTGGGGTTCTATCCCTGTGTATATAAAAAATAAAATAAAATATTGATTGAAGCACTGGTACTACATCTGTTTATCATACAACACGTTGCCAAGTAGTCGTCTGTGTCGTTTGACTCATTTCTTTCAGATTTCAAGAAAAAAAAATGTGTTCATAAGATGTCGAAAACGGAAACTATTTAAATCATTAGGTGACTTTGTGGAGGCCTTACTCATTTTCTTACTTTTAAGAGATTTAAAAAAAAATAAAAAAAAACAGACTCGGTTGCTGTGTATCCCTCGGCCGTCCGCCGTGGTTGTTTGTGTCCGCTTCGGCCCATGTCGTATATCTGATATCAGTACACTTGGTTCAATGGTCAATAAAAGTCATTGGAAAAACATATCAGCAAATCTGCTCACTTTGGGTTTTCATGTGGTATTATTTTTTTTGTTTGTTGTCATATTTTCCCCTTATCTTGTAACTATTGTAACTCAACCTTTTTCAATTCCATCTTTTATTCCACTTATGATGTGGATACTCACTTCTGACACTTGTTTGTTGTCATATTTTCCCCTTGTAACTATTGTAACTCGACCTTTTTCAATTCCATCTTCTATTCCACTTATGATGTGGATACTCACTTCTGACACCAAACCATCCCACTTCTGACCCCATTTCTTTCAAGACGACGGATACCGCCAAATGAATTTCGGTTTTGCGTCACTTATGAAGCATGACAAGCACGTAGCTTCGCTACAGTCACGACATACTTTTCCGCGCCAAGTTGCGTCTTCTTCTTTGACGTCAATTGGATCACCCACCGCAAGGATGACGCTTCCCGAGTGCTGCTAAAAATGTACATTGAGGAAACAGGTTGTCTTAACACCCTCACGGCCTATACTGACAAATCCCATACGCGCGTGTGTGATGTATGTTTCACATATGACAGTGATGAAAGTGGGCACCTTTCGTTATTTGGGAAAGTGGAGCAAAGGGATTTTTATTTGGTCTTTTCCACCAAAGATCAGACAAAACTGTGAGCTTTCGCGCCCTCCAATTGACCTTCGAGACACCGAGAAGAGTCCTGCAACGCAGATGGTCCGAAGTTTCTGGTTGGTTGGTTCCATTTGTAGAAATGTAGAAATGCGCACCTGTTGCCACTTAGGAAACGGTGAACACCTGTGAAAACACAGCTGAGCGCCAAGTGAGAACAAGGCGACATTCGGCTTGCTGAAGTGGGCTTGTTCGCCAAGATATGTGAAGCTGCAAGCTAGCACCAGGCATTTGCTGTCACCTCAATTGCTGGAGACATGTCACCGGACAACGACAGTGTCAGAAGTGGGGCGACAAGTGGAATTCTGCAACTAGTGATGTCAAACGGTGAGCTTGTTTTTGGAATTCTCTTATAGATGTCAGAAGTGGAGAGGTTTGTGGTGATTGGTGTCAGAAGTGGCCCTGACAGTAGAGCCCTCTGACAAAAGGTGTCAGAAGTGGGATGTTAGAAAAGTTATGTGCATAAATTATGAGATGTTTGAATTTGAAGAGTTTTGTGATAAATGGTCTCAGGCGTGGATTGTATAGAAAAGTTATGTGAGAGATGGTGCTGCAGTTTGTACAGTTTTGTGGCAAATTGGTGTCAGAAGTGGGATGGTGGGATGCATAGGGTAAATGGTGTCATCAATTAGGCGAGTGGAGTACTATGATTATTGGTCTCAGAAGTGAGGCAGTTCATGATTTTTTTTTTCATAAGTGGTACCAGAAGTTGCACCATTCGTTAAGTTCATCAGTTGAGTCAGAGGTGGAATGGGTTGCAGATTTATGTGCTACATAAAATAAATTCGGAAAGTAGAGTTTCATTCGTGGCATCAGAAGTTGGATGGATTATAGAGTTAAGTGAGAGATGGTGTCAGAAGTGGGCTGGTACATTTCAGGGGAAATGGGGTCAGATATTAATTCGGTAAATTAAGTAGTGTACTGTTGATGGTGTTTGAAGTTGGGCATTTCACGATTTATTTCATAAACTGTGTCAGAAGTTGGGTAGTTGAGTCAGAGGCCTCAATCGAGTCAGCGGCGGGATGGGCTGTCGATCTGACTGCTACATGATGTTAGAAGCTAATGAGGAAAGTAGAGTTGTATTTCATGGTGTGAGAATTGGGACAGCTCTCTGCAGAATATTTCAGATTGCATCGTTATATGTTCTAATTGTTCTAGAAGTATAGGATTATTTCATCGCTGGTGTCACAAGGAGAAAATTTGTGGACTTTTCTGACAATTGGTGTCAGAAGTGAGACAACTAGTAGAATTCACTGACAAAATGTTTTAAAAGCGGGACGCTTCATTACATTTAATGAATGGTTCCGGAAGTGCGATGGTTGGTCGAATCTGTGGTGTCAGAAGTGGCAAGCTAGTAGAGTTTGCTTGTCTGAACAGTTGCACCATCACAAAGCCGCCTGCACCAGTCGCACTCTGACCGACATTTTTGCAACCGCTCACCCGGGGACACACGCGTCCACTTCACTCTTGTCACGCACACACGCGCGCCCTCGGCTCACGTGGGAGGACGGGCTGACATTTTGCTGCAACCGAGCATTTCTCACACCAGCGTTGTGCATGTCAGGCTTGCCGCCCATTCCTGACATTGACTTTCACATCGATATGCAGCATTGCTGTGTATGTGGTCGCTTCTGGCACCATTGGTCTAAAAATTCCACGACCCGTCCCACTGCTGGAGCTGTGTGCTACTTGGCAACTCCCCAAAACAATTCGTCAAAAAAAACGCAATTCATCTATCCAATTTCTGACACCAGTTTGTCACAATTCTTTTCGGACTGAACTACCCGTCCTACTTCTGACATCATTTATCACGGAACTTTACTCATCCATCCAACTTTTGACACTATTAAAGACAGAACTCTGCTCACCTATCCAACATTTATCACTGACCTCTTCTAACGTGCCACTTCTGACGCCACCGGTCGCAGAACTGCCTCACTTCTGACACTGTTTTGTCACATATATCTCATAGCATCCCTCTTTGGACACTATTTGTCTCTTCACTTTACTATTTGATGCCACTTCTGACACCATTTATCCCCCATCTGAACATTTTTTTGAGCTTCACATCCCATCCACCATGTCACAGCCTAAATATGGCACACGCTCGCGCAAAGGGAGAACCTGCTGTTCCTAATATCCCAGCAGGAGAAGTTGAACAGAAGCGGCGGCGGGGGAGCGGAGATGTTGCGCACGTGTGTGTCAGGAGAAGGTAAAAAGGAAATGATTCATAAAGGGATGAGAAGAGAAAGTCCTTGACGGAAAAGAAAACACATGAGCGCAAGACAGTGAGGGAAACCGAGTGCAGCAAATTGTTTTGGGGTTTTTTTGTTTGGTTTTTTTTTTGTTTTTTTAAGTTGGGAAGCTTTCCGGCCTTGGGCGTGGACCTCCAGCACGTTTAAATCAAAAGATGGAAGTTGGACTCCACAGACACTTGGTGACACTTCAGCGAGGTTGGGAAGGATGCCGCCGCCGCCGTCGCTGATAAACAGCAAAGACGAGACGCCAACCGCTCGGCTGTCCCTCCGCCTTATTTGTGGCATCTGACTTGTTAAGGGTTCAAATTGATTCGATAAGAACTTTTTTTAACCTGTGCATGACAATGAAGACTCTTGAATGTCTTAAATCTCAACCCCCCTAACCCTCCACGCGCCCCCTCACGCCCCCCCAAAAAAAAATGTAATAAAAAAAGCTAAGACGTCTTGTGACGGTCTGTTGAGCAGCTGCGACCCTCCGATCATGAAACCAATCGTTTTTTTTTTTGGTCCGGCTCCATCGAAGAACTCTATTCTGGGCTCATTCAATCCATGCACCTTGGCAGACAGCCCTCGCCACACACACACACACACACACACACACACACACACACACACACACACACACACACACACATTCACAACATTTGTAGCTCCAAAGGGAACAATGCGAGGGGAAAAAATGGTCCTGGCATCCCGTGTTGGTATTTCTGGTCTTAAATTTACAAAGCTGCTCCCGTTTGACGCTGACTGAAGACATGTGGACAGGAAATGCCTGACTTGCAAAATGTATACTTCTCAGAATAACTTGATATGATATCCGACAATACAGAACCAAAAAATATGGCCTTCCCATAAAATGAGATAAAAGTGAAAAAATCTTTTTAAAAAACTGCCTCTCGTCTCTTGTTGCACCCACACTGAGATGTAAGCGCAGAAAGAAGTGATTCCGCTTCTGACGCCGTTACTGTGCCACTTCAGGCCTAGTTTGTCACAGTACTGAGAAGAAACCAAACTGTCTGTCCAACTTCTGACACGGTCATAAGGAAATGTTCATGCTTCTTGGAAAAAAAAAAAAATCAGATCTGCGTCGCATATGTGGGAAAAAAAAATTTCGCAATTGAGCTGAAGTGTGAACATAGCCCAAGACATAACTGCCATCTTGTGGTGATTGGTGATATTACAACTTAAAATGACACTCCAACCCTGCTTTGTTTACCCTTGTCATTTCGACGACAAATATTATCAGGAGTTAGGATGTAACGGTGCCAGAAGCGGAATGGTGAGTTGGCATCCTGGTGTCAGAAGTGGCAACTGCGTGCTCTGTTTCCGTGCGCTTATTGTATTGCGGCGTGACGCCCTCGTGGGTCAAATGAGGGGAAGTCGGAGACTGACGTGCGTGTCAAACACACGTAGCGGATATTTAGAGATGGTTCTTTTCCTCCATCCTAACGTCACTCGTTGTGTGTGTGCGTGCCCGCATGCATGCTTGTCCTACTCCGTATTCTCATTCTTCACACCTACACACACACACACACACACACACACACACACATGTACTGTGGAGGTTATGTGTTCTCCTCTCCTGCCATGACAAATGAAAGTGATCTTGACTATTTTTAGCGAGCAACCGTGGGGATTTGCCACTGCTGTGTGTGTGTGTGTGTGTGTGTGTGTGTGTGTGTGTGTGTGTGTTACGTATTTAAGCCTTGGTAGAGGTTCACGCTGTTAAATATGCCAGTGGAGTGAGTATAATACTGACATCCATGCAGTTATGTGAACGTAAGATATTTAGCGGAAAAGGCAGTTCAATGGTAAGGTATTCGATTTTGAGTGGCGGTGTCGCAGCAAGTGGCTCATTAGTCCAAAACCCAGTCCCAGTTTGCGATCATGAGGCATAGATAGTCGTGTCAGGAGTATGATGAGAACAAAGTCAGAAGTTGAGTTGTAAGTTGTTTTTTTTCCTTTGAATGTAATGACAAATGGTGTCAGAAGCGGGGTTCGAGGTTGGTTAAATTAGACTGATGTGATGAATATGTCAGCGGTATGATGGGGAATGGTGTCAGAAATGGGATGTCGCACGACACTACACCA